GTTTCTTCTATAAGGTTTTCTTAATTTAACATAATTTAATCATTAGTATACCTAATACTTTACTTCTTTTGATATTCCTACCTTAAACCAAGTCAGTTGTAAAGTTGTATTACGCTTATGATCAGCAAGGATAAATTTTATTAACTGCTCTTCTTGGCTGCCAAGGGGATACTGACTTACAGTACAGGTTTATGCTTAAGTGATCTTGTTTTTGCCTTTGAAATAACAGGGTTGAAATTGACACCACTTATGAGCATATATTATATTGCTAAGTAGTAGCAGAATAGAAAATTTTTATCTGAAGCAAGAGATTTTTAATGGAAAATACCAAACTGTTACCTAAAAAAGTATTCTGATTTATAATTATGTGTCTCTAAAAGTATAAACTCAATGTGTATAATAATAATAATGTAAACCTCCACTCAGAGCCTTCTATGTAAAGATTATCATTAATTTATTGCATCTTATGAGATGGGTGCCATTATTATGCCAGTTTTACAGATGAGATACTGAGGCTGAATATGGCAGAGTAACTGGTAGCATGATGTATTTGTTAGGCATAGTGCTTGATCTACAAAATGCCAAAGCCATTTTAAGAATTGCCTCCACTTTGAAAAGTAATAGGAAAATAGATTTCAGGATTTAAATTCAGAATTGGGTGACAGTAGGTGAGACTACTTTGATGAACATTGAGGTCCCCTCATGAAGAGGATCAGACAAGGCCAAGGGTGCCATGGGTTAGGCAACCTAAGGTTTAGCAAACCTAAAGTTGCTTGTAAGAATCCTTCTGTCACTGAGGTTAAATGATTATATTAGTGCTTCCCTTTTCTCATCAATAAAAGAGGAAAATGCTAATAATAATAATAGAAAAGCTGCTACTAAATTGCAAAATGGCATATCATTAATAATGTGCAAATGTGTCTATTTTTTCCATTTCTTCAAGCAAGCCAAGTAAATTGTTCCCTAAAATCCTCAATTAAAGATTAAAATTGGTTTATATTTTACCCTCATTATACTTTCAAGTTTTAAGCAATTATCAACCAGGCCCAAATTCACCAATTTCAGGGCAAGGGTATAATTAAGAAATAGTAAGTAGTTGGCAATCCATACATTAGATTCTGATGGTGAAGAAAACCCATTCAGTCCCTGATCATTATTTATCTCAGGATTTAAACAGTAACCGTAATTGTATTCTTTGAACACCAAGTTCCCAGCCCTCCTCCAACCCCTCCTGCAGTTAATTAGCTGGGTAGGTCTTATAACAAATACCCACTCAGAAGCATTGGGTGGTAGAAACGCTGTTGATAATTAAACACCACAATAGCAAGGAGCCTGTTTCAGGAGCTGCAGAGTGGTCTTGCCCACCGGACTGCTCACCACACACCCACAGACCCTCTATTGTGCTGGCTATAGCTGCTCAGAGGGACAGTTGCTTGGCTGGACAGGGGACCAACTGCAATGAGAGAAAAGGCCAAACCCTGAAAAAAGTTTGAGAGTGCTGAGCTCAAAGGGAAATACCCAGTGGGTGGAAGTGAAAGGGAATGGATGGACCCTCCCCCACAAAAAAAAATGAAAGTGAAAAACAATTATGAAATTATGGCAGGAAAAAACAATTATAAAATAAACATAAGCTTTCTATTTTGTAAGTCCAACCAGCCAGCCAAAATGAGTTCATCTATTTCATGCCAAATAGTGACTGGAAAAATTACAATATAATAGGTCGGTTCATCTTCCATTTGGTTTAGAGAAAGTTCCCTGAGGTCTTTAAGATTTTTAAGAAAATTGTGGCTTAAGTCATCCCAACTTCCGTGATCTCAGTTTCTTCATGTTTAAAATAAGGAGATTGTAAAGCTTCCCATACTGGACTCAAAAAAACAGAAATGTGGTTTCCAAAACTATTTCCAAGGTGTCAAACAGCCTACCCTATCACACTATTATTCCAGATAAAATTACCACTCTAATATAATTATCATATTAATTTGCTTCTGCTTAAAATATATTAACTCAGTTGGGTTGATTATCTCATCTGAACAGATGCTTCTATTGGCAGTTAAAATAGGTCATTAATAATAGGGAGAAACATGATTACTTTGTAAGTCAGCTGGTTTGGTGGCAAAAAAAAAAAAAAGCTTTCAAAAGAGTGTTTTATTAAGCTATTAAAAAATCCATAGGGGGAAAAAATAAAGATTTGCTCTGTGAAATGGCTGGAAACCACTAACTTAGTCAGTGCCTCTCTGACTTGTCTATGCAATTACCCCCAACAACAGAGGCGAGTAAGTATAGCTTCAAGGACACCTGGGGAATGAACCCCCAAAAGGGGGAGATTTCTATACAATTTCCCTTTTTACAAAATCTCCAGTTTTTAGAAACACTTTCCATTCTTCTCCACATTAAGTATGTTCATTTCTTATTTCTAAATGATATTTCCAACAAAATCTGCAAATAAAATTCAACACTCCAGGAAGACATAAATACTCATACTGTGGGATCAGTAGGTGAATCTCTACTTCAATAATCATTACTACCAAGAAATTATGATGAAGTTTAAGTATCCCTGTTTAAGGAGCACAGGGATAGAAATAATCTTGGGAAGCTAACCTAGCTGTAAAAGTCCACAAATCCCCCTGTTAAGTATCTGAAGAGACAGCAAGCTTTATCATAAAGTGGAATCCCTTTGCAATCACAACTCAAATTGCATCAAGTCTAAAGCCTAGGAGAAAAGGAAGGTACAGAAGTAACATGTGTTCTGCTGGTGAAAGCAGGAAAAATGTCAAGGGGAACCCAGCGTAGCTCAAGAGAAGCTGTCCATCTTAAATGCCACCTGGAATTCACACCAGTAATAACAGTTGTGGATATAAAAATTAATAGGGGGGATTTCATAGTATTAGAAAAATTTATTTTTATAAATCATGTGTCTATCACCCAAGTGTTGACGCATGCATGCAATTCAAACATCAGGCTTACAATAAAAGGCTCACTGAATAACTTAACAAGGACAATTCCCCCATTTTCTCTATAATTTGGAGTGGAAGAAGAAGGGGGGCAGTGGGTAAAGGGTGCAGTTACTGGGTCAATTAATCAACCTGAAAACTGTGACACAAACTCTGACGCCTAACCTATGTCTAAAAATACACAAATGTATACGAATTTGTTTTAAACTGTCAATGCCTATATTTAGGACCTTCCCAGCAAGGCTATAATGAGACTGTGTTTGAGGGCTTCAGTCATAGCAGACTCTACCATTAATCTGAAGTTAGTTAAATTAACAGCATTTAGTACTGACTTGTCAATCTCACTACTCCAGGAAATTGCACCTTGAGGCTACTAATATTGCCAATTTTTCCACTGGAGTGTGCACCCGAGTATGTGTGTGTGTGTGTGTGTGTGTATTTTTTCTCCAGAACCTCCGCGTTCATACACCATCCTTGCTTCCCGACGTCCACAGCACTTATATTATCATTTATTCTGGCCTCCTTTAGCCTTCCCGGGGGATTCTGCATAGTGTAGCTGCTCAGTGAAAGAGTTTTTTAGCTTTATATTTATTTGTTTATTTTTCTGTCATGGCTCATGACTGAGGCTTTTTAAAAAAAGCGTGACAGTATTTAGAGTACATGATTGACTGCTACAGCAACATTCATTAACCATGACAAATCTGCAGCAAAACACAGTCCTGAGTGTTCTAAACAGCAACTTTAAGAAGAAAGAAGAAAGAAAGAAAAAGAAAAAAGACTCAACTACTTTTTCATTGACCTCATCTGTAAATAAATTTAGACTGATGGTACGCAGGGGCAATAATAAATTAGTATTCATTTCCTGTAATTAATGCAAACATGCCTATGAACACAGAGAATATGAATATATAACCACCTAATTTCCATTTCAAAATACACCTAACAAATTTTCACTTGAGTCATCTTCATAATATTTTCCCCCTTAATTAAAAGAATGAAATAGATGGATTTCTTTCCCACCCACCAGGGGGAAATATTGTTTTGGTCACAGGACCTGTCAAACACATTTCAGCAACAAATCTGCAGACCCTGATTCTGATTCATTTCACTGTGTGATCTCCTACCACACTTCCATATGGAGGCTGTCTTCTCTCCTACACTGACCAAGAGAGGATCCTCTGAAGTGACCAGATGACCCCATAGGCAGACCCTCATATGCTGAGAGCAAGAATCAGCCTCATAGCATAGCACAGGGATGGAAAAGTTCTATCACTGATGAACACTCAATCACACAGAGGCAGATCAGGTAAACAAGATGATGTAAATCAAATAAAGATTATGAAGCACCATGTAAAACAGAAATGTCAAGCTCCATAGTGTTTCTTGGAAAAAGGAACCAGTATAAGTTGTTATTTTGAGAATGGACATCTCTGGACAACTTTAATTCTATAATTAGACTACCATCAAAGATCAAATTGCTCAAAGATAAGTATGGGATGGTACCCAAGTTATCCATCCCTCAGAGCTCACTAGCTCCACTGTGGCACCAGCAGTACAACACTTTGTTAGCAATAAATAAATTGATAGTAACAAAATTATATCTCTAAGACAGGCATTCAAAAGCGTCTATGTGTTGGGAAGAATGTGATAAGAACAGAAAATCTAAATCAGGCTCTATCAAATGAATAGCTTTGACAGAACACAACTTGCCTCATGGGTAGCTTTTTCTAGTGCCTCTCCTGCCCCTACAGAGCTTTTGTCCCTTAGTGTTTGTCTTTCTGAACATCACAGACACAAATCTGTGCAATTATAACTATCTGTGCCTAGCAGCTAATTGGGATGCATATGACCAGAGAACAATAGGAATATCTTAATTTGATGAATTTACCAGTTAATCTAGTTGTAAATGTCACTAATTAGACTTTATCATAATAAGATAATAAGATGGTTCACAGATCCCACTTTCTCCGGGCATTCTCCATAGCAGACACTCAGATATGCAGCAGCATTTTTCCCAGAAAGAAAAGTCATCCCATTTCTTTGCCTTAGTTGTCAGCCTGGAAAGCCGAGCGATGCACCTCAACACACTGGTCCAGGAGGCCCAGGACAGGGTGAGTGAACTGTCTGCCCAGGTGGAGAATGAAGGATTCACTCTGGACAACACAGAGAAAGAGAAACAGCTAAAAGCCTGGGAGTGGAGGTATCGGCTCTACAGGCGTATGAAAACGGGCTTCGAACATGCCAGTGAGTATTCACAGAGGACTCCTACATTTAATTAGACTTTTAACTTTACTCGGAGACAGCCAGGCCTTCTTTTTTTGTTGCCATAGTCATGGATGGCCGTTGTCAGCCTGTTTGGAATAGGGGCTCTGGGAGGCTGTAAAAGGGTCTTTTGTCTTGCTTGATTTTCTGGCTCCTGATAGGTTCTCTGACCACAGCCATGAGACCTTGGTGCTTCTGGCCTCCCTCCACCATGTCATACTCATCTAGCACTTTCCACCCACTATGCCCTAATGCCTAATGACCTGGACTGTCTGATGCCCTAAGTGGCTATATTTTGGGATGTGGAGGTGGAAAAAAATTTGTTTGCCTATTTGTCTAGTTTCTGCTTCAAGCTCAAGTTTAAGTTGTTTTCAACTCTCTCCTACATTTTTTTAATAGAGAGCTATAAACTGAACTTCAATTAATAAAGCAACAGAGAAGAACAGTCAATCAAACCATAAATTATGCTATTGTCTGCATTTCCATTCTCCTTACTGATTCTTTTTGTTAGCTTAAGAAAAATCTTTCTGGATAATACTCATTATTAACACTGGAAAGTACTGCTAAAAGAAAGAGCAGCCCCTAGTATAAAAACAAAATATGCAACACAAACACTGGTGTAATATCATACTCTCTTTCTGGAAGATTTTATTCAAACAATAAAAAAAATTGACTTTACATTTTAAATGTAAGGGAAAAGTCAGATGACTCCTTTGAAATTCTCTGCCTCTGCCTCAGACTATTTGCAAAAGAATAACTGACTCCGATTCAGACCAAAAAACTAAAGGCAGAGCAGTTTTCTTAAGTAGCACTTTACACTGAATACCAAATGTAAGCCTAACCCCTTCTCTGAAGCAAATAACTTCAGCAATATTAATTAAAGTTTGCTCTCAATATTAACAATTTCCTCAACATGATGATATATGGATTTTACAGAGACTCAACAATTGCTTTAGTAAGTGCATTTGCTACTGTGCCTTATTTAGCACAGATTAACATTGGAAACAGATACGTTTGTAGACTTGATGCCATTTTTCAATAATTTTCTAAATTATAAAACTCCTTCTGGGTGTTAAGAAATACCTAAGACCACCATCAGTCCTTAGAGACTGAGATTAGGGCATGAAACTTGTCCATAAGAGAAAAGACTACCTGAAATGTAATAGAAGGCAGCCTGAGAGTAAGCTGGCTAGAATCCTGTTCTGGAAGAGACCCAGAATTAGGCATTAGGAAGCCATGAGCTTTCATCCCACTGAGTTCTTGAGCAAAGAAATTGGCCTCTTTGGGCAGGAGTTTTAGCTTAATGAAATAATTTACATGAAAGTATTTCATGCAAGGTATGGAATTCTGTCTACAGATCCTGCTGTCACTTCTGCCATTCCTTTGCTGGCCCAGCCCTATCTATCTTGTGTTTCTAGGATACTTTGGGAAGGATTGACTGCTATTATTTCCCCCTTCAGAAGACATTCTAATCCTTAGAAAAGACCAGGATGGCCACAAATAAAAATCATTGAAACTTCTAATGAAAATATTCAAAAGCAAAATCTAACAGCTTCTACAAACAAATGTTCCAGGTATCCTTTGAAGAGGCAGAGACATTGTTTGAAAAGGATTTGCTATGTTAAGATCCCTGTGTTTTTCCTTCTGTCCCAGGAGCCCCCGAGGTGCCAGCCAATGCCTGTCTCACAGTAACCAGCAGCACATCACTCACTGTCAGCTTCCAAGAGCCGCTCAGTGCCAACGCAGCTGTAGTGACCAGGTATAAAGGTACTGCACTCCTGATATCTTCTCCCTGCTTCCCTCCTAGAAGAAAGGTGTGGTTGGGGGTCCATTGTGCATTTTGTTTGTTTGGTTTCCTGCTGATAGGTTAGGTTTTCATCCCATTTACTTCCGGGGTTGAAATAGTTCCAGAGGCACGGATGTGAAGGAAAAACGAGGTGACTAAGAATAAGTCACAGAAAGATGAAGCCACAAGACCAGCTCCTCAGTGACTGTGCCATCCATGTTGGCAGAGGGGCTGCTCTAGGCAGAGCATAGGATAGGGATATCAGAAAAACTGAAAATCAGCCCTGATCCATGAAGCTGAGAGGCTGGAATGTGGAACATAAATAGGAGGCATATCAAGTGATGACTGTCACTCCAGGTGAAGTTCAAGGGGGTCAGAAAAAAATGAAGGGATGGTAAAATGGTGGTAAGACCCATAAAGGCTCCAGGGTGGAGGTAGCATCCAGGCCTGGCTTTGAAGGATGGCCAGGATTTGGACTGAATGTAAATTCCAAGTGGAAAGAAGAATGAGCAGTTATAAAAACAGAAAATTCTGGAACAAGTAGAGGAGAATAAGGAAATACATAGAGGGAATAGAAAAATAGTATGGCTCTGGAAGTGCCTAGGTTCATGAGAAAGGGAAGTGAAATATAAAATTAGAGGGTGAAACCAAGGCCAGCAAGTGGTGGGGGTCATTGTGGGCTTGCATTCAAGGCCAAGGAGTTTAGTCTTTTTGTGATGAACTCTGTACAGCCATTGAACAAGATAGGTACGAGATGGCAAGTGGGCTTTTGAAAGCTGAAGTGTCAGTACTTTGTGTGATGTATTGGAAGAGTTATGGACTTAGAATAAGGAAATAAATTAGGAAGCTTGCAGGACAGAGGTTGTGACAGCCTGAACAGGCTATAGTGGCAGCACTGGGAAAGGAGAGGAAGAGCCCAGAGAAAGAGACTTTGTAGGGCGTGACAATGATGACAGCCACACTTTCAGGGCACCTACCACACACCAGGTGCTGCTTAAGACTGTCTGTATTATCTCTAATCAATTCACACAGCTACCTAATGAGACAGTACTGTTGATTTCCCATTTTACAGACGAAAACACAGAGAAGTTTGAAGAGTGTGCCCAAAGGCTCACAGCACATCCAGAATCTCACATTATGTTGACTCTTGAATGTGGAGGCCAAAAGAAAAGAAAGCTATTGTCCTGATTCTCAAGAACATATGGAAATAACCTGTATAGTTCTATTCAAACCTTGTCCAGGTACCAGGCCACAGATAGAATTTCTACATGCTCAGGCCACTATTGCTCCCTCTACCTGCAAAAATGCCCAAGTAGAGCACGTGCGTAGCTTTCTCTTTCCAAGGGTTTCTTCCTAGGAAATCCTCAGGTCTCTGTAGATGTGACTCTGTCCATACCCTACAGATTTCTGGAAACTGGAATTCTCCACACAACTCCACTCTGTTTGTAATGCCTTAGGTAAGACAGTATTTACTTGGTTATCATTGGGTTTTCCGTATCAAAGAGAAGGCAGCCTGAGGGTACGGTACATAAATGCAGTCACCCAGGATAGCCTCCCACAGCCATCCTTTGCAACATTTCTGGTACTTACTCTTGTTTGTCTCTTCTGCTAAGGCTGATATTTCAGAGAAGTATTTGGAGGCACTGTTAAGACATGGACATTTTCCCTTTTTTCTGTCTCTCTCCAGCTCAGGATTTTGATGAAGGATTTCATCAATGCTGCCCAATTTGACATTTCCTTCTTACACTTGATTAGTGAGCTATCAGAAGCTAATTTATCCAGACTGTCAGCTATTTAATACTTGACCATAATGCCAGCAAATTCTATCAGCATTCACATATTAATACTTCTCGTCTCAGGAGACTTGCTTTTGGGTGAGGTTGAAACAGAAGGTCACAAGCAGGTTTTGTTAGTGACTGGATAGGATTAATTAAAAATTAGGAATAGAATTGTCTATTGCATGATGGAGTAGGTTTCCTTGTGTTAATTTATAAGGGCAGAAATTCAGTCCTTAACCTGATGCACTCAAGGGTTATTGAAACCAGCAGGCAGCCCACTGCATCCACAGAGACAGCTGACAGTTTTTAATTCAGGGGTTAAAATAATTATTTAATTGTGAAAATATTAGTGACATTACCCTGAGACAAAGCTAATTTCTTTTTTTTTTTTTTTTTTTTTTTGCTTTATAAAAAAATGAAGAGGGGCTGGGGATGTGGCTTAAGCGGTAGAGTGCTCGCCTGGCATGCGTGGGGTACTGGGTTCGATCCTCAGCACCACATAAAAATAAAATAAAGATGTTGTGTCCACCGAAAACTAAAAACTAAATATTAAAAAATTCTCTCTCTCTTTAAAAAAAATGATGAAGAAACAATTGAGAAATCCACAAAATGAAATGTATTTAATTAGTGAGAGGGAATGCTCAACTCTGCAGTATTTAGGGTTTGGCAAGAGCATCTCACCCTACTCTTCAGAATTTCTGGGTTCAGCAAAACCCCAAGCATATTTCAATAACTGAATGTTTTTCTCTTTCATGCTTAAGCCGGTATATATTTGAAAGAAAATCTGTATTCTTATGTTTCCTATTTGTTTACACTCAACTCATCAACATACTTTCTGAGAGTTTGTTGATATACAGAAATCTTTTTAATAGCATCTCTTTATACTTTATACTTTTCTTCTTTAGAGTCCAGGGCTGTGCACCAGGCCAACTGCCATCACAATTTGGAGATTAAAGGTGTCAATTATAGCTTAAAACCCAGCAAATAGTTTTCAGTGAGAGCCACAAGATTTTTCTGTCTGCATTTGTCCTGAATACAGTAAAGTAAGGTGTTTCTCAGAGTATCCTCTTTGGATTCAAATCCTTGCATCTTTTAGCCTCATCTCACCAATTTCCAGGGCTTACAGAAAAAAAAAAACTAGAGTTATTTCAGGTGCTTTGATGCTTTGGACAAATGCCAGAACTTTGTTCCACATGTACTCCTGAGAGCCTTGGGTACCTGCCTGAACCTTTCATTTACAGATCAGATGTTATTTCTCTGCAGACTCAAAGCAGAAAACATTTTCAAAACTGAATTTGCTGCTCCTTGCAGGATAGAAGTGTGTCTTGTAACAGGTGCAGTGCAGCAAGGCTTCCAGAGTATAAAACATTTTCTAGTTTTATTTTTAAAAGTGGGGCTTGAAGTGGTGACACTTTTGTGGTTTGCTGATTACAGTATGCTGCAATGGATCCACAGTTGTGTGTGAGTGGAGTCCTGGTTGTGTACATGCCCTTCCCCAACTTTCTTCCCACCTCAATCCCTAATGAATTAGAAACCACCATCCTAATTCTTCCCTATAAAAGCTTGTAAAAGCACATTGTTTAACTGCTCTTCATTTGATTGCATTATTTAAAATAAAAAAGGATTCATCCTTGCAAAAGTAGCCAGAGCCTTTCAGAAGCTGGTAGTGTATCTGCCAGTGCTTCTTCAGACCACCACCATTGAGTTATTCCTCAAAAGGAGAGGAAGCCAAAGAATTCCAGAGAGCTATCCCAGGGCCCTTCAGTTTCCAAGTGGGAGAGTCCACCACATGCAAATTAAAACCTTCAGGGTCATCACTTATAATGATAGTGTCAACTTGATCATGACTTGAAGACTGAGGACCATCTTTCTACAAGACTTGAGACAACCCTGACTTCATGGGGCTTGGGTGCACATCACCCAGTGATTTCTACTCTTTTCATTCTTTACTGTTTTTTCTTCTTATATCTTAAAGTTGGAATGATATTTGTCTAACAAGAAAAATATATTGCATTAACAGATATGGTTATTGTCTATGTTAAAGTAATTGAAGAATTAATCTAATCAGAAGCATAAAGTAACTGCCCTCATTAATGGATTGAAATGATATGATTTATTGAAGCAAAAAAAAATATATAAATTTATTGAGCCTGTTTGGGTTTCAGAGAAGGGGAAATGAGGCCAGAGGTTTGAAGATGAGAGAGCAACAAAGAAAGGCAGAAAATGTCACGAGCAGACGACACAAAACTCAGTGGATTGACACTGTTTGCACATGGGTGAAAACATGAAAGGGAGTTGAGCAACTACTTGCATGTTGGTTTATACAGCAGATTCAGTGAAAGAGGGAGACTGGGAAAGTGAGGAGCAATACTGCAAGAGCCATTTCCCCAAGCTGCTAAGGCTTCTGCTTTCTCAATTGTCCCAATTTCCTCTGCAAGTTGTGGAGTGGTCAGAGTGCAGCCAATTTATTCTCCAACAATCTTGTGAACCACTTTGATACTTTCTCCAGTAAGATATGTCATTTAAAAAAGCTTATTTTTACATTTTCAATATTTTTTTAAAAAATTAGCCCTCACACAATACAGTACAGAATTATATAAAAATCAAAACCTGCCTTGACCCTTCCCCCATCTTCACCTCCCTATCACAAAGTTCATCTTTGTAATAAGTCTGATGCATGTATTTATAAATCCTTTCTTTATTGAATGAACATATAGGTAGTCATAAGATTCATAATGATGAATGATGTTTCAGTCAACAGACAACTAAATATGGTAACCCCTTAAGAGTATGTTGCCTAGTGATAGAGACATCTTAGTCTGTGTAGTGATACTCCATGATATCTGCACATTAATTAATGTATTCCCATAATTGACACACAAGTGTATATACAAAGGTGTATTCATTTGTTTGTATACTCTAGTATAAATATTATCACACTCTTTGCTGAATCTTTTCCAGCTCATTAACATTTTTGCAGTGCATAATATATCATATACCTGGTTTTTGTCAGTGTGTTTGGATCTTCTTCATCCTGTATAATAGTTGCATAGTATTCCCATGTCATGAGGTGTAATTATTCTTCTACAGATAGATTTATGTTGTTTTAAATTTTTTGTCTATTATACAATGTTGCAATCCTTTTATTCATATGTGTCTTTCACTTGTAAGAATGGTTTTCCTAGACTAGTTAACCTGAAGTG